GATATGATTCCGCTAGAAACTACAGAAGCGGCAGACGAGGAGACTCCATACTTTTTCATCCACGGCTTATACATTCTTGCTCTACCTTTCCGTAAACTGACATTACATGATGTCTACTGTTGTTTTTTCCAAATTACATACAATCCTATAGCCGGTGTCCACAAAATACTTTTCTCTGGACAAACCGTTAGAAGACATGGATATCTCATTCCCGTCCGAACTGTCGGATTGGACAGGTGTGGAATCCACTGCCCCCAATACCAGGGAACCCGTTGCATGTAAATCTGGCCCATTGGATCTGCCAACTCGTCCGGGCGACCTGACCGTTGAGGCACTGTCTGATTCCCACTCCCAAGCAACAACTCAGTGTCGTGAGTGCGCAGTGGTGTTGACGTCAAAGAACCCAGCGCTGATAGTTACATCAAGTAAGCCCATCACCGTTGCAACGACTTATCATACCAGCCGCATTCAGTTTCATTCTAAACAATCATTTTTCGGGTAGTTTTGATTGCTGCTTTTTGGTTGCTCATTTAGAGGAAGTATCCGGGTGAAGATTAGAATATTGAAAGCAGTTTCAACTTGAGGCGAACATCGCTCGTCGTGGACATCATCTCCGTCTCGGTCTTGAGTGAGGAAGTCTACCGGTTAGTGTAAGATGTTCATTAGGTAGAATGTTTCTGTTTTCCTTCCGAAGGGATGGGAGTGTCTCTACAAAGCGTAGTGTTCAGTTTCCATTTTTTTATGTTGAATCGTGAACTTGTCTTTCAGGTTGTGCCTCCGATGATAGATAATAAATTATCAAAAAGTTGAGACCGTTTAAGATCTGGGGAGAGGTATATCATATAGAACTTTGAAATTAGAGAAAGGATCCGAAGTTTCAGCCACATAATCGGTTATTTGTTCGTACAATCAAGCACACTTGCCAATTGTTACTGCCAGTAAACGGCTTCAAGTGTCGATTTCTCACGTCCGGCTGAATATCACACCTAACCTGGAAAGGCCTTATACAGTTCACCGCTCCAACTCCCAAGGTTCGGGTTGTCCGTAGCCATAACTGGACAGCTATCCTCATGACTGTGGGGTTTAACTCCTCTGCTGTTAATAACACTAGTGTGTGCAATAAAAATACTGTACCTTGTACGCATGTCATCAAATAGGAATCTCCACTGTGCGACATTCGCTGAAGCAAGTAACGGGTGGGAAGAAAACCAAGGGTAGTTAAAACAAAATCTGATAAGAAAAGGCGGCCCGGGGTCTGGGTCACGTAAGTTGGATGGCAAATCCTGATTGGAGACATCGCGACCGACCTACAGATGGTTAGAGACCGCGTGTCGTGAACAGTGGCGCTTGTGCGTCTACTCCCTTTTCAAGAGCTCATAGGCGGTCAGATCTAGTTCACAGGCCTTCTGTATCAATCAGTCTTCCATTTTCTCTGTCCTTATTAGTCAATTAAAGGGATAACCAAGACACCAACCAAAACCGCCGTACTGTATACAGTAGTGCTAAGTTAATGATTGTGAAAATTCAAGGTAAAAAACCCTAGGGTTCATTGGCTGTTGTGTGGTTCACATACATAATGAATTTCACCAGTATTTGAGGCCTGCCAGTAGTGGCTGGAAGCCACTGCATATCCATGGATCCTTTTGAACTCCATATATGGAACCCCATAGTCTTACTTTTTTGTACCATGGTTTCTGATTGCTTTTTGGTTTCACTCTTCACAAGTATGTGATAAAACTTGAAACTGGCCGTTTTCCTCCTATGTCAACAGCTCCGGAGAAGGATTCACCGAACGCCCAGCAGCCCCAGAATGGAACCTCCACTCCATCAAGCGTTGTAGATCGGACTAAGTCTATCCTACGCGTGAGTTATTGTGAACGTTACCTTTGTTCCTTACACGAAGGTAGTTTTGCACAAAAACGCTAGTTGTAATGTCATGCAATAAAGAAGCAATACCAGTTTTCAGCTTTGCGTATAGTTTTAATTTCCTCCTACGAATCCCCAAAACTTTGACAGGCCTAATTTAAAAATGACATTGTCAGCCATCGTTCGGTGATCTGTTATCCCATTTGTTGTTTCACATTCATTTGATGTACATCATGCACGTCCTTTATTGTATGCTGTTAAAAATGTATTTCCTTTTAGCTTTTACAATCTTCCCTGTTCTAAGGATTTTTCATATTATTGGTTAGCCATCTTCCTGTGTTGTTTGAATATCCAACTCTTCCCTTAACGAAACAAGGAAGTCTTTTGTTTAAGGGAACGCTAAACGTCAATTATAAACAGATATGCCGCTAGTGGAGAATCCCTACCACTGACCGGACGGATTTCATCACTGTAAATGAAACATACTGCAAAGTATACGTTTTGTTGAGGCCAACTTGAAAGTCACTCGGTATGGGATCTCAAAATATTACTTGACGGGTGGTGGTGGCCCGATGGTAACGTCACCAATTATCACCCCGGAGGACGAGTGTTCGAATCTCACCAGCACCGCCTGACTTTCCCCATTTGTGTATTGTATGGCAGCCCTTTGATTAGCCGCTCCCTACTTCCTGAAAAATTGTATCTTTGTGCGTTCAATAAAAGGAAGTAAAATGAAAAGAAAATAATATTACATGACATAGGAAAGCATTGGGAGTACCTGGCAAATGTTTTCTCCTCAGATGTCATCAAGATTTCATATCCATCCAGTGAGTGACAGTTCGAATCGGGCCATACAGAATTGTGAACCCGGTTACCGTGAGGCTGCTCAAACCCGCCCAGTAGTTCGACGTTTCTCTCCCAGTCATAATTGACCGCAGTTGAAAGAGTGCATCAGGAAATAGCCCTCCATTTAAGTGAGAGATAACGAGGTACAAGGACCGGGTTCGATAGTACGTTGCTTCAGAGCGATCTGGAGTAGGCAGTTCGGGCATCTCCTGACTTATGGAACTAACAGTCCCGCATATAAGGGTTTGAGGTATCAACCTCACGGTGGATATGCGCTACTTTCGCTTCACAAAACAGCATGCATTAGCTATACGTAGTTTCTAGGGTTTTTTAGCGGTGTGTGGTGAGTTGATCAACCATGAATTATACCATCCTACTACCAANTGTTTTTTTTTTCTGTTTCGTTCTTCCCTCGATTCTAGTTTCCTGTTGATTTGGTCCGCAATCTCGTTAATCGTTTCACTCTCAGACCTGACCATGTGACTAGCAGTCTTGATTGTAATTCCGCTCCGATTCACCCGGAAACCCTCGTCGTTCCGCAACAACCTAGGAAAGCCGATAATCAAGTGAGCCACCATTAACTCATATGGAATAAACGCTGTGAATTCCCTTGGAAAATTTTCTTTACCCATTGTGTGTCATTATTGATCGTGAAATTTGTGTGAATTCACGTATCCTCTTGGTGTGTTTAGATCCTATTGCTCGCCAAATAATGGCCCTGAGTGTGCCTGTATATTCTTCTCCCTACTGCCGTTAAGCCTCCAACCCGAGACGAGGTATTCCGCTCGTTGTTGCATCGTATCCGCAGTGGCGCAGTCCTGCAAACCAGACAAAGTGACAGCCTTCCATGCGCGGCTCGTTTGGATTCTCACACTCTGCATAAAGCTCTAGTGATCCCACCAGCTTCACACGAAACGACTATTCTGAATCTCACCATCGACTCAATCTCCAGCACCTGTTCCAAAGTCATCGAAACTGATGTGAGTGTATCACTTATATTTTTTGTTACATACATTTTCGGATTATGCAGAATCCGGAATTAATGCCTTTCATAAGATCAATGTCAGTACACAAGACAGTCAGACGGTGTAACAAGTCCCGATCCATTGTGCCCCGACATTTAAAGCGGAAGCAGTTGAAAAAACATTCATAAACGTGTTGTAAACCGTATAAAGCTTTCAGGGAATGATGAGCGCAGACCGCTTCATATAACCGCAATCTCAGCGAGTGACGCATCGGTTCTTGGATGTGAGCATTGCGTTGCGAGCAATACAAGTAACGAGGTGTATAGCTTTCGGCACCGGCGGTGCACAGACTTTTTATTGTGGCTCTAAATATTCAGCATTTCACCGAACCATTGATTTAATTAACAAAAGAATCACACACTGAACGACCTACTGCTTTAAGTATTTTACCCCACGAAATTATCCGTGGCGCACTATATTGATTCGAACCTCAAACGTTAAGACCAAAAGTACATCAGTGACAGCAACCCCAATCACGTTACCACCATCAGTCCTTCTTGTATTCCCTTTTGTGATAATACTTCGATCCTAATCTCTTGAAAGCAGTAATAATGATTTTGTAAATTGGAAAAAAACGGAAAAGATAATTTCTCTATCAGATTTATCATCCTCTGGTCACTTTTTCCCTTTTACTTTGTACTTGACCAACTTCTTTGGAGATCAGGGTTGAATTACTGCTAAGAGAAAGAGTGGAACTGAATGGGAGTTTTCAAGTGGTTAAGGTTGATGTCGTGTTTCCAGCTCTGAAGTTTGACGTTGGAACCCGACGTAGGTGAGTGGCAGCTGTGCCGTCGTCAGGCTTAATGCTGCTACCATCCCAATGGGATCGTTCACTACTCCAAGTTCCAGACCTTACCCCTCCTACTCCTCTTCATACAATAAGATCCAATACGAGAGAGTTAGTCGAGGACTCCATCTATCAGGCCCCACTAGGAATGTGAAGCCACGTTTTTTGAATGGGTGTATCGCGCTCAGTTTTACGGTCGGTCTTTTCGTTTATGGAATCTCCGCTAATGGAATACGGGGCGCAGTGACGTACCGAGTTGCCACGGCACAAATTGCGGTCGCCAACTTGTGCAACTTCCGGTGCCAGAAGACGCTCGTCTACCGATGGAAGATTGTTTATTTCTCCAACGTTTTCTCTCACTGCGCCACAGAACGCTCAATATTCCTCCATGGATTAAGCCCAGAATGATCGTACAACTATGTGATCTACTCGGTGCATCACGCGGTCGTCATTTGAAGTCAGCAAGGGGTTTTTGGAATGTTCGAAGATCGTGCTACAAACGAGCAATCGCCTGGCACCGCAAATTCTCCAGTCGATATCTATTATCGCAACTTTGGCTAAATCCAGACTTTGTTTGGATATATCGAGTGGATCCATCTGAGGGAGCAGTGTGTGCTTTACAGTCTCTAAAAGGAATATATCTCGTCTTCATACAATCGTAAGATCTCGTAAGAAGTCACATTATCGGCTGCGTTGATTGTGACTTAGTTTACGATCTCCGTGATTCTTCGTACTACAGCGACCCTGGAATACATTAGCTTCCACGAAATGAAATAGCTTTTGGCTGGTTTTCTTAGAGCAAATGCAATACCATGTAATCCGGCGTTGTCTGCAGGTCCACTGATAGAGCCGATGGATTGCGTCCATCTCAGGAAAAGAAGTTCACTTGAAGGACTTATGAGAGGCGCATGATAGTCATGCAGCTACCTACATCCACTACGGTCCTCGCATTCCAATAGACTGGGTCCATCTTCCAAAGCAGAGCGTTCCCGCACGCTTCCTAATCACCTCGAACGTTGGGACCTGAGGTGCATCACTTCCCTAGAACAGCGTAGCACGATGAAAGCAAGTGTCAAAGCAATTATCCAGAGGTTTTGTTAAATAACAAGTGCTGTCAACGTATGAGTTGTAAACTAATGCACAAACGGTGCTCTCGGCTGGAGAGATGAATTAGTTACTCATTACGGCTATCATTTATGGCATTCGGGTCAGAGCTTAATGAATTCCGTTCATTAGCCTTACATTTAATTATCCTCGCATTCCAGTTGGCACTCAGAGATGAACGAACTATCAACCGACTACGCGTAAACGGGATCAGTCTCTTAAACAAAGTGAGTTTTGTTATATTCTTTGAGACCTTGCTTTCGATGACGAAAATGAATACAAATTCACTTTACAGCCGTATTTCAGTCACAAGACATCTATGTATTCTCTTCGTCATTTTTTGTTCGGGAAGCGCGTTGACGATTTGCACGTTTGGCATGAGACTTGCGCGCTTTTTCAATAAATCTGCCAAAATGGCAATGTCTGGCGAGCTTGTGCAAGATTTTCGAAACCGGAACCCCATTGCTGGCACTTTCAGCGGTTTCAGTAACCCACTTTTTTACAAAGAACTCTAATTTTTGCATCAGGGCTTATCAGCTACTTGAACATGAGCAATACAAATCGTGTAAACCGCTTGGCTTATTGAGATATTATGTGCTCTGCTCTACTCAGATGTGCTCCATCAAGACTTTCTGGATTCGTTACTGCATCATCATTTTTATGATTTGCTGAACTTTTACCATGATAATAAATTAACAGCTGGTAGATGAGGCTATTTACAAAAAATAGCATACTTCGCAAAAGGCAAAAGTCCTCCTGTTCGCTACTGCCGAAACTTTGTCTGCTTTCAGTTTGTTTTTGATAGTTTCCGTACAAAATTCCTTGCTCATCCCTATCTGCTGTTCAACTGTGTGTGGAATACGAATAGTAAATATTTTTGGAGATATGAATTGCAACCCTGTTCACCCCTGGTGACAAACCATTGGAATTTACATTTGCATTAAATACTGCATACTATCGCTAAATAAAATGTCACTCTCGCTGTCTCCACATTCCAGATTGCGAAAGAAGTCGTTGCACTCAGTCAAATAAAATTGACACCAAGAAACGAGGAAAAGCTGCACACTTTATTTTATCGGACTTGTTAATGGTTTTTTTGATTTTTGTACATTTTCATCTATTGCGGGAGAATAAAGAGATTCCTAATCACCACCTGCCCACCGAGTTTCATCCAAACTAAACGCTTCTCCAGCACCAGTTCGGTTTCGAATAACGCTCCTCTCGTCGTTTCAAACTAAGTTACTTGTACAGGTAAGTCAGAAGAGAGGAATTCCTTTCGTGTACTCTCATCGGTCGCGTACGTATAACATCGAACAAGATAGACAAATGAAGTGAATTAAGAAATCTAGTTAGTATTAACCATGTGTGTGTGATTGTATACAGTGGGTGATGCACGTGATTGGTGACAGCCAGAGAAGGCCAAGGGTAAAGGTCATACGTTTTTGGATGCACAGTGTGGGTTTGTTGTGAGCGATCGATAATGCCTCGAGTATCCTTAGTCGGTATTCGTCTCGATGACGCAACAAAACCGAGAACGCGTTCGTAAGGTCTACTCTGTGGCCGCTTTCAACCAAGTGACGTGCCATGGCCGAAGTCGGTCACACTGTACACAATCGCACACATGGTTAATACTAACTAGATTTCTTAATTCGCTTCATTTGTCTATCTTGTTCGATGCTATACGTACGCGACCGATGAGAGTACACGAAAGGAATTCTTCCCGCAGTGTTTGTTTTCTGACTTGCCTGTTCAAAATCATTACGGGATCCAAATGTTTAAGTTACTTGTGCTCTCTTTTCAGGCCTTAACGAAACGGATGACAAAATTCCGCTTCGTTTTCTTCCTCGTCTCCTTTTATAGGTCTTTCTTTGTGTATCTTACAGTTTTATGAATTTTGAAACACTGGGTCCCCTTTACTCATCATATCAAGACTGAAAGAAAACATGTCGTTTAATCTTCTTAATCGCTTATGTAAAACAAACAAGCATATTTATAGCACACTGGATTTGTAAATCCTAGTGAACGGACATGTACAGTTAGACAGGGGCTGTTAGAACCAAAAACATAGATCGACACCACGGCAAGTGGACTAATTGCAACAACTGTTTGGCGCACAGGACGAGATTATTTAATCGGATCAGCAACGCCTCACTTATTGCCCACAGTTTTACATTGTGGTTACGTAACAACGGTTTGAAAGAAGAAGTGGGATCAATTATGTTTGGTTGTCAACATGTGTTTTTGCAATTGACGACCCCGGGCTACGTGTGACCGCCTGATTACTGGGCGTGGTTTGCGTCATCAACCACTTTGGAATGTGTTCGGCCATCCGCTGCGATAATGGACGGTTGATTCTGCCTATGTATGCGTCATCGCAACTGCAGGTGAACTAGTATACAATGTGAGACAGAACTGGATTGCCAACCATGTACACGTTCGTCCAAATCGATTCCATGGGTAGAGGCAATAAGTCAAAGTCCAACAGCTGGGAATGTGCGGTTGAGAGCTGACTTCAACTTTTGGCGCACATCGTTCAGAAGGTGATCGCCCTTAAAAGATAGTTTTATGTAAACGGCTTCCTAGGGAACAGTTGGCGATGGGTTACCTTTCTGAGATTGTTTACTATGAATATCAATAAATCTTTCGGGGT